CGCCATGAACTGTGAAGATGACATCCACTTCTACGAAATGTTTATTCACGAGCATAGGCTGATTAACATATCATTTGCATGTTAAAGCACATGACGGATCATCAGATGCCTTACTCGCATAAAAATGAATACATAGTTTTATAGAAATATGCCCTTTCATAACTGAAATATTAACTTCAGTTAACCTATAATACACATTTATTTAGTGAAATTCAATTTGAAAAATAATACTTCTAATTTATATAATGCATAAGAAAAAAAAAACAGAGTATAAACAAGAAGAATAGACAATGCAAAGCTTTTAGGTTTTCTGAATGAAATTGAATTTTTATATTGTAATGAAACAATTCGTTTGAGAACAATTCATTTGTAATAACGCATGATCCGGTACATGGTTTTTGTTTGTTTTAGCCCAAAGCCATATTGGGCTATCTGCTGTGTCCTCTTCTGGAAATCGAATCCACAATTTTAGCGCTGTAAGTCCGTAAACTTACCGCTGAGCCACCAGGTGACCTGATACATGACACTTTGACACTACTCTTAAAATGTGAGGCTGTATCTTTTCTATTTTTATTTTAAAAGACAAAAAACTTAAATGATATCATCTCTGAAATATATTATGTAGTGTTAAATCCTGTATTCTGTTATCCAGCCCGTCAAAGGTGATTTTTAGTTTTTAAAAGTGAAAATGGCAATCATGTATTGACAAGACGATTGCTTTAACCAATGAAGTTACAGCATCCAAGTTTCTCTTCAAGGATTCATAAAGATCAGAATTTGGCAGGCCTTTTAAGCTGTTCCGATTGGTTTGTAATGCGCAGAATCAGTTTTCCGTCATTTATGGGAAGTGCTGATTTTAAGTGGTTGAATCCCAAAAATGTTAAGGGTAACACTCCAGCCAAATTCCATTTTTAATAATCTCTGAAATCAAAAATTAAAGATACAGCATTCGAAATTTGGTAGCTTATTAATTAAATCAGAATCGTGGGTTCTATCAAGAATATTCATAAACAAAATTAAAAACTTATTCCCAGAAAAAGATATACTGGAAGAACCTTCATGCCTTTCCAATTGCCATGAGAATATGTTAACTTTATAATCTGAAATGCTATCAAATTTGATAATTCAGAATTTCTGAAAATGAAACTTATACTAATAAAGGAAATGAGACACGAATTAAGTTTTTATTTTATTCCGTGGTTTATTTTTGTTTCATGTGTTGATATTTACAATTCTAACTCGATTTAAAATGCACTGAACTGAATTGAAAATCATGAGAAGTTTGCATATTCGATAATACTAATGATGTTTAGCATTGTAACGTAAAATCCTAACATATCTTCGTAAGCATAATTGAATCAATTTAATTAGGACTGTAAATAGTCAAACGCGCTCTGGTTTAAATTGTAATATATATTTCGAATATATATTCTCCAACAATGTTAAACTAATGAAAATGTTTTTATTATTGTTTGAATTTAATTTATAGAAGCGAGAAGGTTGAGCTACATAATATGTATTCACAATGTGGAAACAAGGTAGATTGTTAGCTTAACCTTACTTTAATCTTGTTTTTTTGTCCGAGAAATAAGTATATATATTGAAACCCTCACAATCTGTACTTTATGGTTAACTACACACACACACACATATATATGTCTAACGTTTATGGTTTCTTTAATCAGTCTGAATATATTGTTGTTTTCTTCCTATTAGATACTGGTGTCATGCTATGGTCGAACGCTCGTCATTTCATTTGATATACAACGTAACTTAAACCATTGTCCAGTGTAATTTACTTTAGTTTTTATTTGCTTATGTAGTCGACATTGAGGAATTACTTTGGTTGAAGTTAAATAACAATGTCTTATCTTTATACATCCGACATTAAATAATCAGAGAATATTATGAAACATGTTTAATAATATAAGGTATGAATATTTATATGAATTTGCTATAAGTACAGTAAATGTTGTTACCTATCTGCAGTGCATGCTGCTTTCGTAATTGCGTGAAATTTGATTAGAAGTTGTACAACAGCTGTCAAGGCAGGTAGAAGTTATGAAACTATGTCATCCAAAAGCAGCAACCAACCTTTGTATGGCTTCTTCCTAGCAGATCAACCTTATGCTAATTAATTACGTGCCATATAGCCACTAGCCTTTCTAACACCTTCCTTCTCTACGAAGCAGTGATGAAAGTGTTAAGGCCTGCTGTTGTTTTCTACGTCAAACAGTGGTTCATCGACTTTAGGCTCGCGAAAATGAACACAGAAAATCGATGAACGACAAGAGAATTCTGCAGGAAAGGGGCAGCAGTTCAAGGTTTATGTCCATAACTTCAAAATTAGTTAGCTTGAAATTAATTTATTTCACACGTAACTTGGTGACAAAGCAAGAACTCTGATAGAAATTAAGGTTCCTAAAAATATATTAAAAATATAGTGCACATTCCCTAAAGCAACGAATATAAAGTCGTTCACCAAGATTTGTTCTGGCCTCCCTTTTTTTTTCAACGACTTAAGGTATCAAGGTTGCCAAAATAGACAGACTTTGGAAAAATTGTTTATAGAATACTGAAATACTGGCCAGGTGGTTAGGGCGCTCGACTCGCAATCTGCGGTTCGAATCCCCGTCACACCAAACATGCTCGCCCTTTCAGCCGTGGGGGCGTTATAATGTGACGGTCAATCCCACTATTCGTTGGTATATGAGTAGCCCAAGAGTTCGAGGTGGGTAGTGATGACTAGCTGCCTTCCCTCTAGTCTTACACTGCTAAATTAGGGCCGGTTAGCGCAGATAGCCCTCGTGTAGCTTTGCGCGAAATTCATAACAATAACAAACCAAACAGAACAACTATTAGTGACCAACTGATTTCCATTTCTCAGTTTTACCTGACGAATGCAATTAAAAACAACAACACTTAACTGGCTTACATTGTTTCAAAGTCAAACTAACTCCATGTTATAGCCCATTAGGTTTAATGTGTAAAGCAGCATGTTTCGCTTCATACGTTCTAATTTATATCTATTATTTATTTATAGGCCATCACTTTTGCTTCTCTTCATTATATAGATTTATTTCAGTATTCTATAAACAACTGTAAACGGAAGTATGAATATATATACCTGCCTATTTTATGTAACAATTAAATGAATTGAGTTTGTTTTGTTTTGAGGGTTATCTGCGCTAGCCGTCCCTAGTATGGCAGTGAAAGACAAGAGGGAAGGCAGCTAGTTATCACCACCACCCGCTAACTCTTGAGCCTCTCTTTTTACCAACAAATAGTGTGATTGACCGTCACTTTATAATGCTCGAATGGCTGAAAGGGGCGAGCATGTTTGGTGGGACGGGGATTCGAACCCGCGACCCTCAGATTTAGAGTCAAGCGCCCTAACCACCGGGCCCAAATGCACTGAGAGCATAGAAATTTAAGGAAATCAAACAGTTTGCATTAGTTTGTGTATTTTTCAAACTGACAATCATATCCTCAGCGATTTATAAAATATCTAGTATAAATACAGGGTATTCAAACTGAAAAGAACATTGTGCGACATATGGGATAAATGGTCTGATCAGACACATCAGGATTTAGGTACAACCAATCTCTGCTAGCCAATAAGAGAGGGAAACCAGTCAGCAGCACCCACCACCTATATATCTACTCTTAACTATCGGGTTTTATGTCACTGTTATAACGTTTAACAGCTTAAAATAGGAGCGTGTCTAGCGAAATATCGCGGAATCGTATCTTGGGACTTCGCAGTTAGGCGCAGACAGTTAGGTTTTGCCCAACTTAATGTAAACAACACTGAGATTAGTGCAGTAATAATGTAAAAAAAAAGTTGTTGCATTATGTACAGGCATATTTAGTATTACAATATTAATAGATCAGTAAAGACGCAAAATGTTATGTTGAAATCTCCAATTCAGATAAATCATTTAAGCGCAAGCCTATACAACGTTAACTTTGACGTAAAAAAAGAGGGAAAATAGTAGTCAGAGAACGAATATTGCTATGTAAGAATGGTAAAAAATAAAAGTCAAACATTTCACATTCGAACATAGCTGTTGTGCGCAACTTCGCAACACCTATATTAAGACACCGTTTTGTAAGCTTATCAAATATTTTGAAGAAACGAAAATAGAGACCGAACAGGAATCGAATTTACAATCACCGGAGTCGCGGGCCCGAACCTTATTCGTTATTAGTTGTTTTGCTTATTACTTTAAAAAATATATTAGTTACTGAAAATACATAACATTTAAACTCAAACTCAAAAATCTTTTTCAATTGTTTGAAGTAACAAATTCAAAATTTATCTATTTACTCTCATTTTTCGCGAATTGATTCATCATCTAACAACATCATTATTCAATAAAGAACGTCATATTGTTTGAAGTAAAAAAATTCAAAATTTATCTATTTACTTTAATGTTTCGCGAATTGATTCATCTTCTAACAACATCATTATTCAATATGTAAGGTCATTATTTACAAAAAATACGCTTAAAAGTATTATACCTTAAGAACTACTTTATCTAGGAAATAAAATTTCACCAAAAGGCATACTAAAAAGGCAGAAATTAAAAAATATGGCTTTATAACGAAAATGCCTTGTTTTTTTATGATGCTCTTACCACAAATTTGTAAATAGGCAACAAGTTACTGTCGTATTAAGGGTTGCGTTGTCGGAAAACAAAATGTCGCCCTAATAACAAATTCAGAATTTATAACGTAATATGGATTACTAGGGAGAGAATAATAAAGATCTCACACCAAATGATCATTTGAACCAAAACTATAGTTACTAAGTAATTTAATATTTTAGAAAAACTCACTTAAAAAGGGTACATTTTTAGTGTTTCATTTCACGCTAGACTACAATAATAATAATACAATTGTTGAATAGAAAAGAATATATAATCGAGGTGTTTATAGGTTTTGATCTTTCATAATCTAGGTGTAAAAAAAAAATCACTGGCAATTTTGAGAAGTTATTAATCACTACTCTCACCTGCTCTAACTTGAACGTCCCTACTAACGATAGAACCCACAGCGTTGCTAGCTACACATCTGTAGGAAGTACTCGACACCTCTTGTTTGTAATCCTGGGCCCGAAAAGGTGGAAACACTAGAGATCCGTCGGACCGGCTCTGACGTAATCCCGCGACGTCAACAATGTCACTTCCGTCCTGTTTAGTCCATTTAATTGAAGGTATTGGTGTACCCCCAGCAGCGCAATGTATAACTGTCCCCAAAGTGTTCTGATAGTCCACATGGCTTGGCGGTTCTTCAGTAAAATAAGGGCCTTGATGGTTCTGTGAGACAGGAATTACTGAAAAAAAAACAACAACAAAAAACAAGATGGAATCCCCAATAGCAGCACTTGAAATTCTTTTTGGCAGGATTAAAGAAAATTAATCTAGGAGACATTGGGCATGGTCAAATACACCAATCAAAAGGTTTTGACTTCCCGAGTCCAAAACTGTAATTAGATCCGAAATCGGTGAAGAGATTACGGAGCTATGTACTTACAAACAAACAAACTCAGAGCCGTTCAATGAGCCGCTATGCCGCGGCTAAAAACACAAATTAAAAACTACTATAGCAATAATCATACATTGTTCGAAAACATATGATGAATATTGATTATATAGCACACAGAAACGGATACGTTCAGAAGGTAAAAGACAAAAACTCATTATTTGTAGTTTTTTGTAAACGTTTCACAACATGTGAATTAGTGCTTATCTCCAGTTTGTAATATTTTCACCTAGCAATAAAACAAAATAGGCATTTTTTAAATAAATCATATTATATATTTACTAAAAACATTAATAAATTGAGTCATTATCCAACAGTATCATTATTCAATAGACACTGTATTTATATCTTAAAGACTACTTTCCACACGAGAACTAATTTTCCTCACAGACATGCCCCCCCCCCCCCAGTGGCTCAGCGGTATGTCTACGGACTTATACTGCTAGAAACCGGGTTTCGATACCCGTGGTGGGCAGAGCACAGATAGCACTTTGTGTAACTTTGTGCTTAATAACAACAACAACCCTAACAGACATAATAAGAATCACAATTATCAACAGAAACAAAAAATAAAATGTGTTATTATTATTATTATGTTTAAAATTATTATTATATTATTTTTTTTCCTTTTCACATATTTGATTAATCACCACATTTATTAAACTTAACGTTAATTTTTTTTCCATCAAAACGTTACATTTTCCACATTAATGTATATTAAAAGTGCATATATGTGAACATTTGATCATCGATGTCATAAATATCGATTAACAGTTTTTGGCAGTCAGTAACGCTTAACAATTTATGTTTTTGTTATTTATATTATACATTTTCTTTTATCACCGGTCTGTATGTTTCAAATATGTTTTTGCAACCTGTCGTAAACTTTGATGAATTATTGCGTTACGTTTAAAATGCATCTCTTAAGTGAACATGACTGGAAGTTTCTTATTGTACTAACCGCTGGCTGGTTTCCAGACAATGTATTGTAATGATTAGTTTGTGAGGTTATAGATGGAAACATACCACTAAAAAAACGACTGAACCGTAACTAACATTATTGATTCTCCAACAGTTCAGTGGGTTGATGTTCAGTGAGTAATGTTTCAGCCTTAAAGTAGTTATATGTATTGTTATTAAACGTTCAAACTTTTTTTACTCGAAATAATTGTTTCAGTTGTTTGCAAACGATTTTAATTTAATCAAGTGTGAGAAGACTGGTGCAAAGATATTTTTTTATTTTCAGGAAATCTTGAAGGATTGAAAATTTAAATTAAATTTAAAAAAATCTTTCGTGAATTCAAAATCCTCAGAAAGGTTTAAAATCAAAATAATGGGATTATATATACTTTTATTTCAACTCAAGAATGTAGTCTTACTTTCTACATATAAATGATTTAAAATTAACAACTCTGTTATTAAGCTAACTCACCTTCTAGCAGTTCCCGAATATTTAGAATAAATAGGAAAAATAATAAAATTTTAACGGAAAGTAGAGATCGTCGGTTATTTGTAGAATTGCTACAAGAAGTATCTGAAACAAAATAAATGCTGCAATAAGAAGTACATTTTTAATTGCAGCATTTATTTTATTTTGGATACTTCTTGTAGCAATTCTATTAATAACCAACTATCTCTAATTTCCGTTAAAATTATTATTTTTTCCTATTTATTTGTTAAGTTTTTATAAGTCCATGGAATGGACACAACATCTATAAACTTTCAGTATAGCCATATCTCTGATAGCTATAACTTTTACAAGAATTAAAACCACAATCAAAAATTAAAAAAAAATGAATTCATACTTTAGCCTACAGAGAAGTGTATAAATCTGTCAAAGTAGGGATTAAATTTTATAAATTTATGATTGTGGTTTTAATTCTTGTTTCATTGCCTTTTGTAGCAGGATCCCTACTTCATTTTAAAATTCATATTTTTTAATACTTTTGTATGTTTACTTGTTTACCTTACCTTTAGAAACCGTCGCATGTCTATCCATGTAGCGCCATCCCTTGGGTTGAAAAGATATTTATGTACGTGCATGATATGTTTACTATTTATATTATAATTGTATATATATATATATATATGGATTTTTTTTTATCAGTATATCAAAAGCAGTCACCCACAGACCAATTAAGTAAGCTAGAGAAATCTTGTAGCGATAGTCCGAGTCTTCTAGGCGCTAGCCCTGCTGACGTGATCAGGTAGGTAGGTAATAGACGAAAAAGTTGCTGTTTTAGAAATTTTTGAATTGTTATACCCAAAACGTCGTAACCAATACTTTGAATGGTGGTTATTCGCTTAGGAATTCGATATGGTGGTTTTTCGGCGTGTGAATTATTTGGAATCCCTGTCAATCCCTACTATAAAGTACTACCGCACTTAAAATAGTGTTTCTTATATGTTTTTTTTTTTCAATTACTATTATGTAAAATTTTCTTCTCATTTGGAGTACTTGAAAATTATTGTTAGTATATTTCTAGATTTTCGGGAAATTCCTGATAGGAATTCAATAACTATGGGGGGGGGGGGAAGGAGATGAAAAGTTTGAAGGTTCGGAACTTTTTGGTATTACATTTGTTGCCTTTGAATTAAGATACTCTGTGGAAGACAATATATTCAGCTGTGGACTATCATACGAGTCTGTTGGCAATATTGTTACAACTTTACTTTCTATTTCTTTTTGACTCAAAGTCCAAATTATCTCTCCGCTCACTATTAATATCTAGCAGCTAATCCCCCCACAACTCTGTTTGAACTAAGGAAAATCCCAGTTTATGCAGAAGAATATTATGAGTTGGCTATTATATGTGAGTATAGCGTGACCTCTTCTTCAGTTGACTCCTCCATAATCACAAATTCTGACCCTTTTACACACCAACGGAAGACTTGTTTCACAACGCATGCCTTGCGTGACAGCCATTACTTGTGAAAAAGAATAATTTGCATATTTTGAGACAAGTAGCACTAATACTTTTCTGTGCACAACAATTTTCGTAAAATTTGGCCAATTAATTATTGATTTTAAACCACGCTATACAGACATGCAAACAGGCGTACTTTCTGTAGCCGTAACCTTTGATCTGGTGCTTACAGAGACCGCAACACTGTATCCTTAAGTTATTCTTACTTTAGAAAGTAACATAAAAAATGAAGTTTGGTGGTTTACATTAATTAAGTAGATTGTATTATTGTTTCAATAATGCAACGCATGCGTATCAAGTATCACAGTATACAATAATTCTCATTTTATTCTCGGAGTTAAGCAAGAACTATACCAGTTTGCGTAAAATCAGGCATTACAATAAAGAATCTTAAAAGTAAAAGATGTTTTTGCAAACCTGTCTCTGGGAACAAAATATCTTCCTCTATACTTTATAAACATATAATCTATTGACAGACGATTATTTAGTGCAAGTAAACGTTTCATATGAAGTGAAAACTATATTTAACTGTATTTGTTTTGTTTTTTGTTTTTAATATAGCGTGTCTTTTTTTGAAAAACTCATCTCCAGTGTATAGGTTCAAAATCAGTTTATCCACCAAATATACTTTTCAACACATAAAACATCTGACTTTCTCATTTATATACACATAAATTTACGATATTATACTTCGCACGTTCTGTTAGAAGTTATGACGCCTAGAAATGTCACTTGACACATGAATCTTTTCGAAACTAGAAAATATACCAACAAACAAAAGTAGAAGTTGTGCTTTCTAAATAACCACTGTAAATTTTGTAAGGTTCAATATAGCTTTTTTGTGTGCAATAAACAAGAATACTTGGTTACAAATAAACTTACTGTTAAAAAAACCCACAAAAAACGTGTTTCAATTTTGATATTTTAGATCCAACATTTTAAATACCCAACTAGAGAACTTGTTAGTGAACAAAGAGAGTCTCGGCATCTTAACATACTGTTCGAAATAAAAGAAATATCATCCCGTCTTATCATGTTTCTGACCTTCTACTTGTGAGACAATAAGTTTAAAATTTACACTATACTTTATATGTAAAAGTTAATTTCTTGAATATTTATCTATTTTCTATAAGGAATACACTACTGTGAACATAACAAATATAAGTATTTAGAAAATTTAACTCTTAAGTATTTTGTCTTTAGAATGTTGTTTAAATAAGAGACGTTTCAATAGTTATCAGTAGAATAATGTTGCGAAGTTTTTAAACGGATATAATAAAGAAAAAAACAGGAAAAGGAAATGCCAAAGCAATTGACAACATGAATGAAACCAGATAATATTAATTCTCAATTATTTTCTGTCGAAGTTTAGCTTATCAGTACACAAGTTTGACGTCGAAACTAACAAGACATGGCAGATGCAAAATATTGAGGGTTAATCTCACTTCGTAAGAACCATGTTCCGATATCTGAGTTGTTTTGTGTGCCCTTGAAAGTATCTTCTCCATTGTGGATCGTACACGGTCTGGTGGTCATGATTATGTACTATTGTTTGACATCGTAATTGCCCTTATAACACGCAAAAGATCGTAAGGCAAGCGTAAACCACATAATTTGATGAACTTTTCATACAGCCTCCACGATTAAGTCGATCAAAGGCACAAAAGTCCATTGGAGTTGCTTTAGGGATGTGACATATATGTGATCTAATGAGGCTGTTGTGATAACAGTTTGATCAGCTATCTTTATTACGAAAAAAGTAACTGATTTTGAAGTTCAACTATGTCTTATGAGCCTTCATCATTTTGAAGGCATTGCTGTCCTAAATCCTGTTATACGGGGATTCTCACATTTACGGAGAGGA